AGCCTGTGGCCTGCTGCCTATAGCCTGCGGCCTGCTGCCTATAGCCTGCGGCCTGCTGCCTATAGCCTGTGGCCTGCTGCCTATTGCCTGCGGCCTGCTGCCTATAGCCTGTAGCCTGCTGCCTATAGCCTGCGGCCTGCTGCCTATAGCCTGCGGCCTGCTGCCTATAGCCTGCGGCCTGCTGCCTATTGCCTGTGGCCTGCTGCCTGCAACCTGGAACTGACTCTCAAATTATATAGAAACACACAGGCACATTGTACAGAGACTCTCATTCTACTGTTATTGCAACCATTGATGAAGTATATGCTCATTTATACCACACCATACATGCCATGTCTACCAGTGTATCAATGAACATTCACTATTTATCACACGTGTATATAATCGTACAGCATTTTCTAGCACTTTTACATTATTCAAATTAGAGGCCAAACTGCTTTTTATGGTTTGAGTATTTGTACACTGTGCCATGACAATAAAGCTGAATGTTTATCTAATCTAATATAAACAAGTAAGGAACCAGCAAGCTGCAAGAAAGATTCAGCAAGGTTCTGTCACAGTGGTAGAGATCCAGGCGGGACCGTCCAGCACAGGACCACGACAGAATCGACTGCTTCCGGCCGGACCAGAACCTGTGCCCAAAACGTCATGTTCTAAGAGACGGCAAGGCTCTTCAGCCGGACATGGCGTGAGCGGGCAGCCGTGAGCTGGGCATCAGCAGCAGCCGGTTTAATTAAACCAAACCATGCCCACAAATGGGGGGGGCTATCTACCTCCCCATGAGAGGGTAATTGGACAGGATCCTCGGCACCCACAGCAAGCTGGGCACGAAGCTAATTAAACACCACAAGGCCGATTTAATTAGCCTGGGGGTCTCTCTGTCTGGTCACACGGAAGTTGTCATGCGGCGCCTCAGGTGGGGGCCACACCCCACCCTCGCTGTGAGCCGCACCTGCCCGCACGAGACTCCAGGACTCCCCGCTGTGATGCAAGCTCAGAACCTTCCGGCTCCTTAACCATGACGCCCCCCTGCGTCGCAGCTCTCGGTGTGGGCGGGGTCTCCCAACTGCTCGGCGTCCTTAAATAACCAGGACTGTGGAAAACGGCCCAGAAGCGTGACAAACGGCATGAAAATACATAAAATATACGAGAGGCGGAGCTCATCTAGGGCCCCTGGCAGCTGTCATTGGACTGTTCCGGATTGTTCTTCTGGACCTCATGCCCAGCGCGGCCTGCTGCCAGCTACACAGCACCAGGCCACCATCTGGACCTTCACACGGCCTCGCGTCATCAGCGGGCACTGAGGGCAGCTGGGGGTCACAGGGATGACCGGACGGGTTACGGGGGGGTGGGGATACCTTGGAATTATCTTCAGTAGTATGACATCAGTGCTGGATCAGACACCCCCAATCAATTTAATTTATTTATCGCAACGTTATTTTGCTGTTTATGCTTAACCTGAGTGAGCACCTCACCCCCCAATGCACTCCCACACCCTGAAAGCACAGCAGAGTGAGACAGCTGGCCTGGACTAGGGATTGTGTCACATATCCGGTAATGAGCGATTCCGGAACCTCACGATCGCTCATCTTTCCTCATAGAGCCTCTTTCAGAACCAGGTTCTAAAGGCACCTAAGGGGGGGTACTGTAAGCAAGACAGCAGGTTCGACCAAATGCCAGATCGGCATGACAGGTGACATTCTCATCAGAGCCGGTAGTGTGGGCCGTCTGGCCCGAGTGTCGCGGTCACTCAGAGTAGCGGGTTACTCTGCCAGAGTAAAGCGGTTACCGTGGGTTACCGTGGGAACGGCGGGAGCCTGCAGAGCCCCTGCTGTCGATCTCCTGAGAGACGGAAAGCCATTTTCGCGCAATGTTCCGTGTTTGCCAGCTCCGAGACCCAGGGAAACGTGCAAAATCACACTTTCGAGGAGAGCCTGCGAGTCACAGCAGCGCCCCCTGGGGGCAGAGGCCCGGCCCGCGAAGGTGCGCTGAACCGCGTACACTCACTCTGCAAACATGACCGTCCGTCCCGCGCATCGCTTTCATGCGTAAGTAAATATCATTGCAGTGTGATGACATTTGGGGGGTAGGATGGAGGGGGGGCTTGGGGGCTGAGGCACTGACTTCGATGGTGTGTCAATCTCACAGTCCATACATTATTCATGTTTGCCTGGAAGTGCTGAGGAATTCTATTACAGCCCCAGCCGCTTAATTTTCACCCCTACAGTCCCCCCTCTCCCCCCCCCCCGCCACCCCACAGCCTCCTCTGGGTCTGTTCACATCCTTATTACATTCACGCCACGTGACCCTTAGTGCTACAGTGAGGTGAGGTGCTCTTAATGAGACCTTAATGAGAAGCCAATCCCGAAGGCTGTGTAGGCCTACCCTCACCTACCAGCAGATGGCACAGCAATTACCCAAGAGCATTTTACATTAACAGGCTGAAGGTTCGAATTCCAATGGTGGCCTGCTGCTGGACCGCTGAGAAGGATAAACAGACTACTCCAGTAAGTATCTGACTGGGCTGATTAAGGGCGTACTCACGCTTGGCACAGTTGCCCTGTACTGTGGCTGAGAATGATTGTTCCCCCCCCCCTCCCCACTTGCCTGCTGGTCTGTAGTCACATTTAACGCTCCGGGACCGAGAAAGGTTTCATCATCACTGTGTGACTTGTTGTGTTGAAGAAAACATAGGAAGAAAAGCATTATCACACAGCACAATGGAGTAAATGATTAATGTCCTAATTCTGTGGATTATTTGGAGTCGTTTGGGGTGCGATGATGACACATGGCCCTGTTGTAGATTTATTAAGTATACAATGCAGTGATTTTCATTCGTATAAGAAGACAGTCCCATATTTTACCAGATATTTCAGGGTTTTGTGTTGCTGCATCAAGTTGTTCCTTGATACTCTCGTCAGCCTCTGCAGTAGACCAAAGTGATCCCTTTGCCATAATGTTTGTTAAATGTTTGTCGCAGTGACACCTGATCTGTTCCTTCTAGGTCTGGTTGATTTATAGTGTACATGTGTGTGCCAGTCACATGACATGACGTCATGCTCAAGCACGGTTAGCAATCATACTGGAAGTGTACAATGCCCAAGTCCAACTGAACTGTTCCCGGGCCCACCTCTTGAAACAGGCCGGGTGTTAAAAGGGTCAGCTGGGCATTAAAAGGGCCAGATGGGAGTTAAGAGGGTGAGCAAGGTTAAAAGGGACGGTCAGGCATTTAAAGGTCAGACAGGCGTTAAAGGGCCAGCTGGGCGTTAAAGAGCCAGCCGGGCGTTAAAGGGCCAGCCGGGCGTTAAAGGGCCAGCCGGGCGTTAAAGGGCCAGCCGGGCGTTAAAGGGCCAGCCGGGCGTTAAAGGGCCAGCCGGGCGTTGAAGGGCTAGTCGAGTGTAAAAGGGACAGTCAGGCATTTAAAGATCAGCTGGGCATCAAAGGGTCAGCGGAGTGTTAAAAGGGCCTGACAGATGTCAAAGGGCCAGCCGGGCATTAAATGGGCCAATCAGGTGTTAAAAGGGCCAGTCAGGCATTAAACAGGCCAATCGGGTGTTAAAAGGGTCAGCTGGGCATTCTAACTCCTTCGCATTCACCTGCAGAGCAGTGTAGTACTGTAAGCAGGAGGAGCAGTAGTAAAAGTTCCTTTGATCTGTTTTTTTCATGTGACAGGCAGAAATTTCTCCAAGACAAATGAGGATCATTTTTGGCTGAGCTCCCGGATCTGGCACAAGCGTTTTCCCTCCGATTAATATCACTACATCTAACTCTACAGTTCTAATTCAGAACAGCTCTGCACAAGGGGCGCCACTAGTGGGCGCCACTTCAAACTCCCACAGGGACCCTTAAAGACAGGCAGAAAGGCACCTTTGCTTCTGTAATGGGCCACAGACAAACACACAGCCACCCAGCTCCATTTCTCCCTCTGTTCCACAAGCCCCAGGCAAAGCATCAACTCAGACCATCCTGGGTAAAATGCAGGCTGACAGACTGTAACTGATCTCATACCAGTATAAGCAGCATCCCAGTCCAGCCGGCTGGTCAGACTCCAGCCCACTCCCCCCGATAGGCATAGCCAGTGTGGGTCTGTAGGTGTTTGCGAAGGTATTTCACCAGAACGTAGGAAGACCTCCCATTAGAGTTTAACAAAGTGAGTTTATGAAGATCGCTACTGCCCCACTGGGGCATTTAGTCTGCAGGAGACAAGTAGAGGGTATTTAATAAAGCTGCAGTATCAGTCCTGACCACGCCCCCTTGCTGGACGTGATGTATTGCACTTTAAGGTGAAGATTCTTCCAGAACCTTTTATGGGGGTGAAAGGTCACACAGACAGTGCATCCTAAACACAGGCTGAGGCTCAGAGCTCCCGCTTTAGCTTACCTGTCGCTGAGGGGCACATTATCCCGCTGCCAGCGCACACTCGGCCTGGGGTACCCCGCAGCCACGCAGGGCAGCAAGGTGCCCTCCCCAGCGAGGACCGTCACGGACTCCGGCTGTCGCAGGAACTGCAGCTCCCTCTCCGTCCCATCCTCTGCGAAAAGAGCAGGATATTGGCAGCATAAGATATGGCTAAACTAGGAAGAGAGATGCGAGGGTGAGGGGCTGTGGTCATGTGACACCTCCTCAGGTGGGGTGAGGGGCTGTGGTCATGTGACACCTCCTCAGGTGGGGTGAGGGGCTGTGGTCATGTGACACCTCCTCAGGTGGGGTGAGGGGCTGTGGTCATGTGATACCTCCTCAGGTGGGGTGAGGGGCTGCGGTCATGGGTGCCCTGAGCTCTGGGGTTAACCCTGAATCTATCTCTGATGTTCCAGAGCAAAGTGAGATAATTGTAGACTTCAAGCTCCAATAATCTGATATGTGGTCATCTCACCCAGATCAGCATCCAAACCCCATCCCAGCTGGCAAACTGGACTGGGCCTCGATTCTGTGCCGGCGCAGAGACAGGCCAGCCGTACTCACCTGGGACGACCTGCAGCTCAACCTCCTCGCTGGCTTTGGAAGGCCCCAAGTTCTCCAGCACGCAGCGGTAGCGACCCACATCAGCCTCCGTCGCAGTGCTGACCACCAGGGCTGCGCCCGGCAGCTGCAGCACCCTGGGGCTCAGCTCTAGGGGCTGCCGATCGCGCTCCCAGCGGGTAAAGCGCGCCAGGTCCAGACTGACATCGCAGGTCAGCACCAGGCTGTCGCCATGATGCACTGAGGCCACCTCCGGCTGACTGGAGAATCGGGGAACAGCTGCGGGAAATGAGGGTGGGGAGACAGACATTACATCACTTCCAGAACGACCTATACTCCCACCTAACAGGACCATTCCCCTCCTGTCTGGATGCCGATGATCCATGGGCGACAGGAGTCCCTCGGAGCATCACCATGGCGATAATTAAAACAAAATCTGCTGCCTATTTGTGCTTTTCTTGCTCTTTCATCTCCAAAAGTTAATTACTTTCTGGGTTTCAAGTACCTGCTCTGATATCACGCTTGCGTGAACGTCTTTCCGAGAAGGTGGGGTATATGGGGGGGGGGGTCGGTTACATACAAATCAGTGGAGCTCAGATGTTACAGCGTGGGGGAGGGGCGTCTTCTCACTTGCTTGGAGGAGAAAGACAAAACACAGCTGGACGGGTCAGAAACCTCAAATCCAGCTGGGGCTGGCTCTTGGACCCCCCAGTGCATGCTGGTCTCTGACCCAGACAGCGCAGTAGACAGAATTCCCCCTACCCACCATCAGTAGGTGTGGTATTTCTGATCTGACAAATAACCACATTCCTCCCCACAGCCTCTGTCTGAATGGCACTACGCAAATAATGGATTATATTAAACTTAAATCATAAATATTCAATTATGGAAAAGTGCTGAGAGGAGGGGGCCAGATACAGAGTGGGCAGTGAAGAGGCTGCCAGAAATCGCCACAGCAACAGTGAAAGTCGACACAGCTCTCCAGAATGGTGACGCGCATCAGGGATGGTGCTGCTGTGGGGGCCACATGCCAGATCCCACGCCAAGCGAGGCCCTACCCCCCAAACCGCAGGGAGCAGGCTGACATCTGTCACCTCACTGGCATCTCAGGATAGATCCAGGAAACTAGAGCCAGCCCCAGTGCAGGGGAGTCCATAGCAGGACGGGCGGCAGCCTCAGAAGAGACCAATCACCCCCCAGGTGTGCCCAGGGATCTGGCAAGGCTCTTCAGACAAAAGTAATCAACACCAAATCACACCCCAGCTCTACAGATTAGGGAGCGAGCAGAGATGTCCAGACATGACTAATCAACACCAAATCACAGCCCAACCCTGCAGATTAGGGCGTGAGCAGAGATGTCCAGACAAGATGAATCAACGCCACATAACAGCCCAATCCTGCAGATTAGGGAGCAAGCAGAGATGTTTAGACAAGAGTAATCAACACCAGATCAGAGCCCTTAACTGCAGACTCAGGTGCAGAGCTGGTGTTCAAACAAGACTAATCAGCACAGAATTACAGCCACTTTCTGCAGAGTAACCAGTGAGTCTAACATAGAGCAAGAAAAAGGGGCAAGAAAAGACTGGAGATGCACAAGGCAGGAAACCACCACCCAGCACTGCAAGGGTTTGGGAAGGGGATGCATGTCAGTCTGGTTTCCCCAGAAACCCCACTGTGGTGGTCAGGACTGAACCCCGATTATGTTTGCTGAGTGCAGCAGAAGCTGTGCAGAGGTGACTGCACTGACTTCACAAACCAGTGAGGGGTCATCTGTACATTTGTGCCCGTGTGTGTGCGTGTGCGTGCAAAACCCGAGTGTGACGACATCTCATACACGTGAAATTGAGCTGCAGTCATAAACACTGCTGCTGATGCGATCCCTGGCCATGGCATGACTGTGCACTAATCTCCCCCCCCCCTCCATCACCTCCCCACACTTTCTCTCCTCTTGGAGGTCGGTTCAAGGCATCAAGTCTCTGGTTACCAGATGCCAAGAAAGCCAGTACACCCCCCCTCCCCAGGCTGTGATCCCAGTGGCCAGGCGGGTCCCCCTTTCACAGGCAGCCCACTCAGGCTGTACAGACACCCCCGAAGCACATACTGCACTCCTCTGGGGGCAGCTGGGGGCTCCTGGAGGCTGCGGCAGGTACTGACAGCCCTGGCACAGAAGAAATTTCGTGTGGGACAAATCAGTCTAAGTGACGGGGGGCGGCTAGACAGTTGGCCCCTATGCTCCCCAGTGACACCCATTTGGACACGCCTCCCCCCCCAGGGATACCCCCTTGTGGAGACACTCAGCCAACATTTGAACACAACTCCCCCCCAAGCAACACTCCATTGGAACACCCCCCCCCCCAGGGACAGCAAAGCCTCCTTTCGGACACGCTTGGTGCTGAAAGGGGCCGGCATGTTCAACGTGGCAGATCAAGCTGCCGTCAGCCTGAGAGAAAGCACTGGGTCGGCCTCCGCTACCAGAGCAGACACAGAGAGAGACGAACAGAGAGACAGACTGAGAGCAGCGGGAGAGACAGAAACAGTGAAAGCAGACAGGGTAAGACAGACATACAGGAAAGAAAAAACTAACTGGCACACAAAACAGAACATGCAAAAAAAAACATGCATTCAAAAATGTGAACATCTCTCTCTCTCTCTCTCACACACACACACATACAATATTTGTATTCATATCTTCGTGGGGACTCCCCATTCATTTCAATGGCAATCTTAACCCCTACCCAGCCTTAACTTTGACCATAAATAACCAAACAAAATTGATTGCAGTGTCACAGATTTTTTATAAAATTCAGTTTCCCCTTGTGGAGACCAAAACGGTGATCCTCATAATGTCAAAATAACTGGTTTTAATCACATAATTTGGACTTTGGGTCCCCACAATGTAATATATACATGACCACATTCACACACACAGTCACACATTCACACTCACACACACTCACACGCAAATGTTATTTCAAAATGACCCCCAGGGCTAACAAGCAGGTCTAAGCAGTAGATAGCTGCCATTTCTGAAAGCCACTGTCTGGGTGTGAACCAAATACCAGTGTCACATCGGGGCGCCCGATGAAATATTTAAAAGGACAATCAAAAAAACGCAGATTCATCAGGATGCTGCAGGCTCTCGCTCCTGCTAGATATTAGCTTGACATGTTTTATCTCCATTTTTTTAAACCCCCCCCCCCCACAACCCGTCAGGCCAAAAATAGCTCCTGGGAACACTTTCCCCCTGCGCTGCAGGGAAACACATTACAGGCAAATCACACCTTGACAATTTTATCTGTGAGAAATTGTTTTCCAAAAAAAGCCCTTTTTTCCATGTAACACTTCACAAGCAAGCTTGTCATTTCCATAAGAAAGCAGAGTGAATCTCCTGAAATCCCCGCGCAGACCTGCCGGCCGGGCGGACCCAGCTGGGGCACCGCAGAGCGCACATGAATCACACGTCTGATTCAGTGGCTCCCGCCGTAGCAGAATTTAATATCGATAACGAAGGCGGAGCAGGTCGCCTCCGCCGGGCTCAGGGAGCACAGATGCCGGAGTCCGCAGACCACCTGTGCCACGGCAGAGGGCGTCTGCCGTCTTCAGAGGCTTTCCGAAAACACCCCCACCCCGAGCTTTGGGGCTTCTGAAAGTGTCTCTGAACGTAAACGTAATTTCACTCTGCATCTCTGGTGGGTTTCACGGGGAGGGGGGCATTTATGGCACTTTGGCAGAGCCCACCCAACTCCCTCCTCGGGGAACGAGAACTGGCAACACGGCGCGTCTGATTCTTATGGGCCTGCAGCACCTGTGTCCCTTAGATTGGTCTGAGGGAGGAGAAGGCACGAGAGAGAGAGAGAGAGAGAATGATGAGAACAACAAAGAGAAAGAGTTGTGAAAAGGCAGTGAGAGACAGAGAGCAAGGGAGAAGGAGAGAAGGTGATAATGAGACAGATAGAACAACTAAGGGTCCCTGATTGAACTGGGTTGGAATAAAACACAGCTCAGTGGCACCCCCAGTGGTCAGAAAGGGAGATGTTTACCATTTAAGCTGATGAGGATGAGGGTGAGGAAGGGCAGCCTAGACCCTCGGAATCCCCATGACGGCCACTCTGGAGCCTCTGATGGCTGGCGGAGATCCCTCTCCAGGCCCTGCATTGATCCCGCCTCACCCTACCATCACGGTTTCACTCTAAGGTTGTCCGGTTTCATTTCAACTCCCGCTCGTTAGAAGATTGAACGCCCTCATTAGATATGCGTGTGGCTCTGAGCATGCTGGGTAATTATGGGACTGATTACACATTACCGCTCCTCATTTCTGCACATTCATCTTCCTCATCCGCTAACCGGCGTGCACTGAGGCTACACACTCGGGCCACTCCGAGAGGAGGGAGTGAGTGAAGCAGCGTGACAGGTAGAGGGCGTAGCGGTGAAAGGGCTCTGCTGAATGGTTTAGCAGCAGAGAAATTTGCACAGCACGTACAAAACAAAAGCATCTCAAAGTTAGGCTTTCTTCCAAATCGCCACAAAAATTACTTCTGTTGATGGCCTTGGGTGTGACCTGCAGGGTTTGGGTTCAGTTCCCCTCCTCCACCAGACTGTATCGGGTTCTTAACCCAGAGCTGTTATAGTACCACAGTTTTACTTTTTACATATTCTTCATCATTTTGCAGTGTGTGTATGTGTGCAATGAGTGTGTGCATTGTCCTGTGTGCGCGTGTGTGCAGTGAGTGAGTGTGCGTGTGTGTGTGTGAGGGAGTGAGAGAATGTGTGTGCAGTGAGCGAGTGTGTGTGAACATGTGCATAGTGAGTGTGTGTTTGCACAATCCTGTGTGCCTGGTGAGTGTGTGCACACAGTCCTGTGTGTGTACAGTGGTAGGACACAGTGCCCACCTCCTCCCTACTACAGTGAATTGCTTTTATCTCCATTCCCAACCTTATTCCCAGCCCATATTGTCCCTGCGAGGAACCTAACCTGTGGTGTTGAGCACAGACTCCCCATTTCATACCATCTCATCGGGAGGGGGGGGGGCTGTCACTTTAAGTGGTGTGGAGGCCATCACCATGACAACGACCCACCTCCCCTTCAGACGCGTGCAAACAGAGCGATAAGACTGAAGGGCAGACAGGGCCTGTCCATCACAGTGTGGCGTCAACAGGGACGCAGGCGGACCAAGGGGGGGGGGGGGGGGCACAGGCACACACATGAAGGAAGACCTCCATTTGCCAGAGGGGAGACAGATAAAGAGAGATAAACGGATGGACAGAAAGAGACAGACAGACA